GCGGATCCTAGCTGAAATCATTCCTCCTTGCTCCTCTAACCATTCCTAATCACTTTCTCGATTCTCACATTGCAACACATCCATCGCTGTAGGTAACGAGTCGACACAAATGACAGCAACATGTGGCATTTGCAATGAACGTGATGTTACCAATGCAATCGCACTGCTATAGCGGTAATATTCTAGAGTCAGGGAGTACCCGGTTTGATTCTCGGCACAGTTGGCGAATACATTTGACGGACTTTTTTCGTAATATTCCTCAGTTCGTCCAGGCGAATCCCGTGACATGTACTTACTTACTTACTTACTCATGGAGCCGAGCCGCCAATTCTGCTGCTTCTCAAGAATTTCCCAGCATTTTATGGAACCCGAAGGTTCATTACCGTGTTCACAAGAGCCCTCCACTGGTCCCTATCATGAGTGATATCAATCCAATCAATACCATCCCATCCTCTCTCTCTACCGTGATATGTACTTGTAGCATCTAACAACCACTTCCTTTCAAATCCTTACCTACTCATCTCGAAGCTAACGGGGGGTAACGTTCTAAACCCTCAATCGGCAGGTGCTCGGTTCAGATTTCGGTCGGGGTTCCGCTTATCCTGGAAGTTTCCATGGTTTGCCTCCGTCCCTCCATGCAAATGCCGAGAAAGTGCCTCAATCTGGCCAACGACTGCTTTCTTTCCAATTCCTTACGATTGGCCCTACAATTCGATAGTATAGAATATCGATACTCACAGAGTCGTAATGCAACCCGCAGGCAAACATTCTACGCTACAAAGCATCTGAAACGTCATTAAACGACATACCTGATAACTGTTTCTCTTCTACTGAATGGGGCTGTATCTACTATACGCAGGGTGTCCGAATGAAAAGTATCCAAAATAAAATAATTATACCTCAGAAAGCATTTATTATACACATTTATGGGTTACACCATTACAAAGGGAAACTATCAAAGTGTTTCTCTGAGTATATAACTTTCTCACTAAATTTCAGTGTGGGCTCCCTTGGTGGCAGGACAAATATCTAGAAGATATTCAACCTCGTTCTACGTTTCTTGAAGCATGTTGTTACTGTAGCCACAGCGTCCCTTATGCAGGCTTTCTGGTGTCGAAGGTCGTTGATCTTAACTTGGTACACAATGTTCTTCACATAACCCCACAAGAAAGAATCCAATTGGTTTAAATCTGGCGATCTAGGAGGTTAAGCCCGCCCATCCATCCATCTTCCAGGTGATTCCTAAAACAGTGGCAGAAATGTGGCAGCGCCCCATCTTGTTGGAAGATAGTTTGAGGTGGTAACTGGGGCAGCGAATACAGCTCCAGCAAGTCCAAGTACGAGCGTCCTGTCACAGTCTTTTCCGAGAAGAAAAACGGCCTTATCAACTTATCGTACATTAAACCGGCCGACACATTCACTTTGGGGATGCCTGTCTCCAACTCACATGTGACATGTAGTGCTGCAGTTGTACCTGTTTACAGCGCCACTGACTCGGAACGTCGCCTCGTCCGAGAAGCGCACTTGGCGGAGGAAATCGGGTGACGCGTCCATTCTTGCTGGCATGTCCACACCGAAGTTTGTGTGTGCTACTTGGTCACTCGGTTCTAGTGCATGAATCAGATGAATCTTGTATGCTCTTAGGCGGAGCCTTTTGTACAGCACATTGTGAACTGTTGAACGTGAAATTTGTACGTAACTGCAAGCTAGCAGCACGAACTGATTTGCGCGGACTTCGCTGGAATGTCTCTCTAATGCGACTGACATTTTCTTGAAAGGTCCGTGTCTTTCCAAAAGACTTTACACGCAACAGAATACCTGTTAGTCCTCAGTTTGTTGTTCCAGAACCCAATGTTTTTCCGTGCAGGAGGTTGTCCATATTGCATTCTAGTTAAGAGACTGCAACTCTGATAGCCACAAAACGCACTGAACCTGTTCCTGTGGTGTCGACATCGTTACTGAGCTCACATATCCCGGGCATGAAAAGAAACTTTTAGGATTTTCCTTTCCGATGAAATAAACCGGATATGTGTATAACAATTTTCTTTATTTTGGATACCTTTCATCCGGACATCTTGTATGATATGTAGAGCCGATGGTTAAGCCGTCTCAAGCGCACCGGTTATTTGCAAGTGTCAACATATTAAAGGAAGAGCACAGGCAAACCTTCGACACCATAACGTATCTAGCTTACAAATATTTCTCCGTCTTGTCTGCATTTATTTCGTGTTGGAGGAGATTTGTGAAATAAATATCTCCCGCCGCCAGTCAACAGATAGAACTAAGTGGCTTTTCAGTAGTAACGTACATTTTACGTCCTCCTACAGAAATATACGAAACGAACTCCTTTCAACAAAAACCATCATGAAAAACGTTACGCAATGTAACTTTGGCAGAAGCACATTCTCCACATACATGTAACGGTTTATGGTCTCGAACTGAGATAGACCGAACCTGTGTTAAGCCATCGTTTCAGAATTTTTCTGGAGCAACTATGAGGAAAAACTCAAAACACGATAGCCAATTCGAACCCGGAACCTCCCGAATTTGAAACAGACATGCTACACTGACACCTTCGGTTGTCTGGTACAGTTGGCGAAGTAACAAGCGCGGCGAGATAAACCGATTCCTGGCACAAATACCACCCACGTTGCAACACTGTTACCACCCCAGGTTCTTCAATCCACATTCGATTCCCGGACGCCTAGCTTTACGGGCGTTGGCCTCCGCTCCCCTTTCCCCTCGAGACCAATTACACGACGTATGGGGGCGGGGAGGGGCTCCTAGGGCGGACGGTAGAAGGGGAGGAATCCAGGGCGTGGTTCGCCATGTTTCACGGGGCCGTGGGATGGGTTGCAGGACTCAGATAGAATTACAACAAAACGACATCCTACCCTTCACAGCCGTCAGTGACGTATTCTGTTCCTTTACATAATTTGTACCGCCACCAATCAACTTACAGGCCTGCACGAAAATATGCACCACGGCCTATCACACTGTGCTCTTTCTCTCGGAAGATACAAATTCGTTTTGGGTGTCTGAACCAGACATTATTAACCTCTTCTACGTACACTACGCAGCAGATATTTCCCTCACAGCGATGGTCCTACTTGTCTGTATTCTTTGTTCGAATATCAGCGACAGAAACGTGCTGGGCCATCTTAAGGCAGGAAACTGAATTCGATTTTGTTCCTGATAAACCATCGCGATTTTATATGCATTAAGCACCTATATTAACAGTATACATATTAGAAGCCGGAAGGTCATGGGTTCGAGTCCCGATGAGGTCATTGGATTTTTTTTCAATTGACCTAATCCTTCCGGCCGCACTATGATCCTGGGGTCAAATCAGCCTCTAACAGAAATGAGTACCAGGAATTAAATAATTTTCCTGGGAAGTAAAGCTCGGCCGGCGCGTAAGGCTGACAACCTTACCGCCATCTTTGAGCCGACTGTCTAGATAATGTGGGACCCTCAACGTCTCACAACCCTATGGGCCTTCAAGGCCTGGTACACGGATAGCTATACTTTTTTTTTTTACATATTCATATTGTTTGGTTACTCAAGGAGTACATTAAGAGAGAGTAGTCCGAAATGGAGTTGTTCAGCAACATTATAAAAGTCTGCAATTTGTATTTTAGATCTATTATTCTTGAACCAATATATAAAATTTAAATTTGTGTCAAAAAAAAAACAACCCATTTAACTTTAAAAATAATTTACAGGATAACATATAATGTACCAACAATCTGTCAAATGCAATATATTGTCACGTGTCCGGGGTTCCGTGACGAAAATATGGGGCTCTGGATTGGATCTACTGACATCTTTACACAGTCCGGAGCTGCAGGCAATTTCAGTGCTGTCGCCATTCTACACTTTCCAGCTCACCGTTGCACGCACACTAGGATTCTCCGTCTTCGCCAGTTGTATCCTAGCAACGGATTTATCACAGTCTCACTGTAACTTCAAATCACACGTGAAGTTTTCTTGGCACAGTCTAATTCGTTCCTTGCCATTTCTGCAGCAGCCAATTCCGAGACTACTCTCCACTGCTGTTGTATACTCCGCTGTGTGGAGTGTGGTAAAACGCATCGCTACCTACAAATTTTAAACACTTTTATGCATCACAACTGCCATCATGTAAATGGAATATCTGAAGTAATATCTCGCAACGCCGAGCAGGCCTGCTGTGTATGTTATATAAATACTGGAAATGACGCAAACAAACAGTCTACTGAATAACCGCTACCTCTATATGAAGGTGGGAGAATCCTTCCCGAAATTGCAATTTATATAAACAATGGCCTCTTCCTTTGACAGAAAAAAACTTACCGCGTCTGGAAACCGTACTAGGAGAAATATTTAGACTCAACAGGTGCAGAGCTTGCGGAAAATTTAAGGTGTTATATAACCAGACGACCTGCCGGTCACGGTATCCGAGCGGTCTAAGGCATGCACTGTCTTCGCTCGCTCGGAAGCCGGGATCGTGGGTTCGAATCCCACTCAGGTCATGGACGTTTGTCTGCGTTCTTCTGTGTTTGTGTACAGGTAGAGGCCTTGCGACGAGCTGATCACCCACCCAAGGAGTCCTACCGTATGTGTAAGATCTAGAAAAACCGAAGTGAACGGAGAAGTTCATGGAGGTAGGCCTAGGCCCACTGGGGATGTAGTGCCAAGAAAAAAAAATAACCAGACGACTTACTTATGTTAATCCAGTGAAATCTATGAGGTTAAAAAAGATTGACTATATAGGTTAAATGGGGGGGAACATAAATATGCTGAATTTTTATGTAAAAATTCTTGTAAAGCGATAATCTGTAGGATCCAGATGGTTATGAGAGTACAACGAGTACAACATAAGATGGATCCTAGGGTAGTAGGTTGTAAGGGTGGGAGGTGGATAATTCTGGCTCAGGACTCTGTGCAGTGGCGGGCTTCGGTATTCGAACTTATACTGCCATAAAGTTATTTTAGTTTAATGAGTTATCACTACTCACCTCAGCTGGGTCCGAACGGGATGTTAGCACTTCCGAAGACAGTTGTTTCAGCGTCTGTGTGAGGTTCCGGGACGCTTCTGCGAGAGCGCGAGTGTCTAGCGTCGGTTTCGCAGCTGTCGTTGGTTCGCATTTACATAATGCAGAACCTGAAGTCGCTGAGCTACATGACAAAACTGATGACGGTGACGTGCACGCATGCACTGAAGTCGACGTCAACGGGCCATGATTTGAAGCGTTATCCGATGTAGTCTGTGATGCCGGGAGTTTTATGTTTGATGCATTATTACTTGTATAAAGACTTAAATTATTTGTGGCATTTTCTAGGGACTTCAAAGGAGACTGCACTAAATGTTGTTGAACAGTACGGTGGGAGGATTCTGATGTGTTGGAAGACTGAGCCACTTCCGAGGAGGTATCAGTGTTTGACGACGAAGACTTCGTGTAATAGTATAAAAGACGCCGTGGTGGTACATACGAAGGCGAAGAGTATTTGTCGTCTGTTGTTGAACTAGAAGACACCGACAACTTTGATGATTCGCTTGCCACAGAAACCGCGCTTGAATTCTGATGCGATACTTTCTGTTGAAGGTGATGCCGATAGCTATCGGTTGACGTGGAATGAGATGTATTTTTGCCACTTGACACAACTGACAACTGAGAAGCTGTCATCACCGAATTTCTCGATGACACTAATAGCGGACTAGGTGAAGCAGCGGAAACGCTGATCTGTGACAATGAGGTATTAGATTTAGAACACGTTTGCGTTGTTGGTGACGCAATGTGGTACTGAGGTGCTGTGGAATCACTTGCACTGTTACCATGACATCTGTTTTCAACGCTAGGCTGAACCACAGTCGCTGGAGAGGTACTACTGGGTGTATTACAAGACGTAGTATTGTTGGAACCTGTCATGGCAGGTGCAGAAGTCGCAGAAGGTAGGATGGGAAGATGTGACTGGAGAGTTGAATTTGTGGAAGAGGTGCTGGTGTTAGTGTTGGAATTAGTGCTGGCTGATCGACGAGATGAGCTGGGCGTGACTGTTGAGAGTTGCAGCTGTATCAGCATCATGTGGTCACCTAGCCGCATTGTGAGGTTCAGAGGCGCCTTCCCCGAAAGGAAATCATTCACCTGCAACACAATAAAAACAATTGCTTGTGTAAGAAGCGAAACAGATTGTATGCCTCAAAATCATAGGACAACTCGGCTGTTGGTTTTTAAAAAATAAAGTCTGTCACTGTTATATTCTTCTACGCGGAAAACCTCAACTGACAGCTCGGACTGACAAAATAAAAACGGAAAATGTATTATTTATAGACATACATGCATCACTGGCAACAGATACTTCTCACCATATAATCAATAAGCAACTGCTGAAATAAAAAAGCGAAGACAGCATGAGAACAGGTCTCAGGAAAATACGGCGTGAAGGTGGAGACTGGATAAAACTGGCTTCAGACAGGGTTCAATGGCCAGCTTTTTTGAACACGGTGTTTCAAACTTCGACCGCCTCTGTGGTCTAGTGGTCATAGTTCCTGGGTACAGATCCAGAAGTCTTGGGTTCGATTCAGGGCGCTACCAGATTTTCTGAGAAGCAGTGGATCTGGAACTGGGTCCACTCAGCCTCGTGAGGATAATTGAGGAGCTATTTCAAAGAAATAGCGGCTACGGTCTTTAAAACCGAATTTAACGGCCGTGGGGATTCGTTGCGCTGACCACGCGACACCCTCTATCCTCTAAAGTTTGCACTAACTTCGGCGACAAGCGCCGGCCGCTCGGTCGGTCGGTATAGTTCGCTTGCAGACTAAAACCACGGAGTCTGTTTTGTTTTGTTTTTTTTTTCTTAAAGGAAGTGGATCTGTTAACCAACTTAGTTTTGGTTATGCAATTTCCACAGAGGTTTGGTAACGCTGTACTGTTCTTATTCCCCTCTGTGTGAGAACAATATCTTCCGCGAATGCCATCAGTTCATACGTATGACGACCCCGCGTTAAGGACTTACTGAAGAAACCAGGCTAGCCGTTTTGGGACGGCTCTTACTGTTAATTCAGCACGAACGTCAACAACCGGGAACGGAAATGTGTCTATGAATTGTAGCTGAGTCTGTAGAAGTTCGAGTAAGATGCTGCACAGCACAAACACCAGTATCACGGGTTCAAAGCTCCTACCACGTAAGTCGATTCAGCTTTAGAATTCTGTAAAACGCAACAGGGCACTGCGCAACCTGAAGAGGTCCTTTCAAGATTAACGGTGAGATGGACTGTTCAACTAATAAGGCTTGAAAGGATATTAAATAAGAGATCTTAGCGGCAGAGACAAGGACGCTTATGGCCAAGTGTTCATGCTGCTTGCTGAATACCACGGTTAGTAGTACACCAAAGTCTGATATTCCGAAAAACTTTAATGATTTCCTAGTCAATCAATGAAGCTGAGGTGAAATGTACTGCTCTACTGAAACGTTACGCATCGGAGCTTAAACAGTAATCGGTTACTGCGAGAAGAAAACGTAAGACGTGGCTGGGTCGCCAAAAGTAACGGATAGAGCACAAAAACTGTTCACAGTGGCTAGCGACTTCATTTTACGATTCCAACAGTATCAACATGAAAGTAATCTGGAATCTTATTTATTTTGCTCCACAATTTAGTTGAAGACTGGGCCAAGACCGCCTCTTTCCGAATACTTTCGATCCATCCAGCCATTCAACACTACGTAGTCTGAGCTATCGACAGCGTCGTTACAGAAACAATTAATAAAAATACTTAAATTGTTAAACATTTCGAAATTCAAGTATTGTGTCACAGCAACATCACATTTCGATTAAATTCTCGGGATTACATAAGGTCTACAACATACATTTCAAAAGTTTCTGAGATGTACTAGCACACAAACAGTAAATAGCAGCCAGTGAAGAAAGGACGATTTCTAAAACGGATCCATTTAATTTTTAAGAGGTAGTTCTTTCAGGGTGGGGTGAGACGGGAGTCCACTTGGTTCGTCGGCCACTAACTGGCCTATTGTACCAGGCCCGGACGACAGATGAGCGTGGAGCAGTCAGTGGAATGAGAATTGGCAGAAGAAACCGAAGTACTCGGAGAAAACCTACCCCAGTGCCATTTTGTCAAACACAAATCCCACATGACATGACCTGGGCTCGAACACGGGCCTCCGCGGTGGGAAGCCGGCCTGAGCTATGGCACGGCCTTTTAAGAGGTAACACAAAAAGATTTTTAACTTAAGTCAGCAATACTAAATATTTCCAAATCGAAGCGATGTATTTAATGCCACAAATGCTAGATTAAAGGACGGATTTAAATGGTAACGTGGGCTTGAAATGTAACCGATCCTAGCAAAAAGTAACAGTAAACCGGTCTGCTATTCGAATAGCTACACCACGTTTGCCAACTGCGAAATTTTAACGCTGTAATATACGTCCTGCGCGGAACCGCGATGGTAAAGCAAACAGATCAATCCAACTGAATGGTACAAGCTCGCGCCAGAAGAGATAGGAGAAAATACATTTTCACTTGAGAACACGAAACGGTTGAAGCAAATGCAAGCGGGCAAACTTTCTTTTTCATCAATGCATTGGTTTCTCCCTTCTCCCCCCCCCCATCCCCAAAAATTAATGCAGTGACCAAACTTACACAACGTGAAATCAGTGTACAAGAATTGGGCCTCCACCATGTACTTTCGCCAACAGCAACCTACGAGAAACGCACAGCCACAGTTACACTATTGCCACATCATTCGCACTAACACGCTTAATAACTGCANAAGAAGTTGTACTTTTGGGAGCTCTGCACTAAGATATAAAGTTGGCGCGAAATAAATGAGTAGATAAATTAGCAGATAAATACATGCATGAAGAAAGCAGTCTTCTGGGATTTGGCACCGTGTATATGTGGTGTTAACCGACGTTTCGGAGGAACGTATCGCCTCCATCTTCAGGGTAGAAGGACCGTCACGGTCTCTTCGCTTGCGGATTTCTTATATTTTTTCCTTCTACCCTGAAGATGGAGGCGATACGTTCCTCTGAAACGTCGGTTAACACCACATATACACGGTGCCAAATCCCAGAAGACGGCTTTCTTCATGCATGTATTTATCTGCTAATTTATCTACTCATTTATTTCGCGCCAACTTTATATCTTAGTGCAGAGCTCCCAAAAGTACAACTTCTTTGGGATCGATTTCAAAACATACAGAAGGCGACAATTCGTTGAATCGATTTAGGTCTATTCTTTCGATAATCCGATAGGATTACAAATTTTTAGAAAGATGTGGCTGTAAAAATCTTTCTCAAGAAACACAGATGTAATTTTCTTTTCACGATGGAAGCCCGTACTTGTATTTAAGCGCACTGCACATACCTTGGAGGCGCGCTGCCACTCTGATGGACAACCATATTATCTACGTAAGAAAAATGTAAAATCCCAGTGAAGACTTACGATGTCGTCAAGTCCTTGTTTGTAGTGAAAACGCTGTACCGTGTACCGCTGAACCTCAAGAGTGGCCCTAGCGCTAGTCGTGACCACAACCAATACATGTGTATGGTGAAGTAGGGCAACATTCTTCTTAGGGGATGATTTTCGGAAATATTACTTTCGGTGGCTCCGCACCCGAAATGGAGTATGGGGTGAAATGAGACGTGCATGCAAAATTGTAAGCGAAAACCTCAGAAAATGGTTCCATTCGAAGACACTGGCGCACGCGGGGGAATTAATATTACATAAGGATCCTAGATAAATTAGGTGTGAGTTATGGAGTGGATAGAATTGGCACAGAACAGTTCAAACACAGGTTTTTGTGAACATGGTAATGACACTTCTCCAGAACGTTTTGGCTTCTCATTTGCTGTAAAAAGAATTAGAGAACACAAAACTGTAATTTTGCATGTGGTTTTGTATGGGTGTGAAACTCTGGTCTTTAAAATTAAGGAAGGTACGTAGACTGAGGGCGTTTGAGAACAGGGTGCTGAGGATAACATTTCGGCCGAAGAGGGATAAGTGAGAGAGGGTCTTCGCCAAGTATAATAAAAATGGATGAAATGGGCAGAGCATGTAGTGTGCAGTGGGGAGAAGATGAATGGATGTGGATTTTTGGTGGGAAAGTAAAGAGACCACTAGGAAGAAAAAGACGTTGATGGGTGGATAATATTACGGCAATGAACCTTAGAATTCCACAAAATGCTGTGATATTCTTGCGTGGCTCAGCGACCGGCGGCTTCTCAAGCTACAAAAGCAACATTTTTTATTTTTGAGGGGGGGGGAGGAGGCAGATGAACAACTACGAACATTTTACGGAAAACCCCGCTGGCCGACTATGGAGTCTAACATGAGAAACGTACACATACTCTTAATCACAAACTAAAAGACGTTTATGAATTATGGATTCTTACTTGCATGCTCCAGAAACCAAATGGAAGACCAAGAGAGGTCCAGACAGGGGTTATAATCAAACATAGAGAAGTCTGCAGACAGTGCATCTGTGAAATGGACTTAACGCGTTATGAATCGGTTCCACCTAACGGCAGCAGCGTCGAACTTTCCTACAGCATGCCACGTTTCCCCCCCCCCAAAGAGCCCGATCTTGGGCGTTCTAGTAAACAAAATAACAGCACTGTTCGAATTAATATTTTCGTGAAAAAGACGTGCCTGTTCAACAAAATCCTTATTTAGCACAAGACGGTACAACTTTGTGCACGCACTTTCCACAATCCGTGACGCGCGGAAGTGACGTCATAGTAAAACCAGGTAGAGTCAAGTCATTGCTCGGAGACAGGAAGTTACACCAACCGGTACTCACTAAACCCAACTCCATGCCCACGTCATTTCTGCATTGCACGCGTAATTTAAACACTGCGCCTAGCTCAAGGCTGAAACAAGACTGAAAGTGTACCCTGCTGGTGCATTAATTTACCAAATGCGCTGTTTGCTATTTTGCATACCTTCACTGGATGTTGTGTTCCCTTACTGCACAAATCTATAACTGAAAATCTAATTACTCTACACATTACACTGCATAGAGTCAAAATACTTTCCTTGCGTTTCGTTAAAGTCTACTTATCACAGGCTACATAAAGGTTTCAATTTACAGTTGTAGATTTTGGCGGTCTGAAGATTCCCAGAGT